CTTCAGTTGAATTATTAATGTTATAATAATCTGTCATTAGAATCAATAACTGCTTTATTATTCATAGTGCATATGGTGCTAAAATGGACCCTCTCTGAAATAAATGCAGTGCCTTGTCACAATACAATATGATTTTACAATACTGCTAATGTGCACAAAGCATTCAAATACAGAATATCGACACGTCAGAGATTTATGACAAATGAGAGGAGAAGATGAATCTAGGTTAAGCTTTCATGTCACTTGACTGAGGTCAAAAAAATCGATACTATTCATAATGTATCTCTCACCCATAGTCTTAAATGAAAAACCTTTTGAGCATAGAGAGACTTTTTAATTTATCTTTCATCTTAGTGGCAGAAATATTCTAGAATTGAAGTTAAAAGAGAAAATAAATGAAAACTAATTGACAGGAAAGTGCGTAAATCATATTTTTGGAATGTACATTTACTCAGGAAGCCAGAATATACCCAATGTGATTTCCCTATTTCTATTTGACCTGTACTTTTATCTGCAGGGATGTTTTATGTTTGTGAAATCTAGGAAGTACAATGATGTAGTTACAGTCAAACCTCTTTTCTCAACTTTGGCTTTTATGGATTTTGTGACATTATACAGTAGCCAGCAACTGCATTTTGATTTATTCTATCAACTTACTGTTTCCTAATTCTCTTGATATAATATGGATTTTAGGAATATATTGACCATAATTTTTAATTCCTTTAATCCTTTTTTACCCCTAACAATTAAGAGTTAACCAAATATTGGTATCCCATTCACTTGTCAGAGAGTCATTTACAAATAAGCAAGTCACTCACAGTGCTGGCCACTGATGTATAAAGGAAAGTCTTTTAGGGGCTTTTGGAAAAGGACTCTTCCTCTTCAAAAGAAGACCCAGAAGAAAAAATGCCATTCTTCCTTCTTTGAATTTTGTCTACTAATTGAGAGAAAAGCTAGAGTTATCTCACAGTTTCACGGGAACTAAACCTAGCTGACTTGCACAGGATGCACAGTTGAGAGATGAAGGCACCTGATTACCTCATAAAATAGTTTTCAGATAAGCTCTGACATCACCTCACATGGGGGTTACTTTTATTTAACATATATATCCTATTTTAAACCAGTTTGAGATGCAGTTCTCTCTGTTGCGGCAAAAAGTATTCTAAATGATGCTATCAGTCATCATTAGAAATTAATTGAAGATTGATTATTTTTCATACTTTCATTTGATGTGAAGAGACTATAATTGACTGTCTTATTAATGGAATTAAAATGGTTAATGAACCTGATCACAAATAACTGAATCTATTTATACCGCAGAGAGATGATAGTCCTGATTTATGAATTTGATCTATAGTTAAGTGTTTCTGTGAGGCCTGTTTTATCTCTGAAAGATTTTCAGGTGTTGGAATAATTTCAAACAATTCTTTCTGTTAATCAGTTGGTCCTGAACAAAGTTCTCCTATGTACTTTATTTTTTTTTTTTTTTTGCCATGAAAATCTTTTATTTTTTTTTTTTTTTTTTTTTTTTTTATAAATTTTATTGTTATATTCCCCATACAATTGCCGCCCCCCATTCTGACCCCAATCCCTCCCCTCCCGCCCCCGCCCCCCTAAAAGTGTCTCTGGTTCATAGTTTTTTGTTGATTTTGATTTTCACTTTCTTATAGTTTTTCATTTTCCTGGTCCCTTATTTAAGTTTTCTAGATTCCTGCTATGAGTGAGACCATCCGGTATTTTTCTTTTTCTTTTTGGCTTATTTCGCTGAGCATGATCCCTTCCAGCGCCATCCATGTTGCAGCAAATTGCATGTGTTTATCTTTTTTGAATGCTGAGTAATATTCCATGGTATATATGTACCACATCTTCTTGATCCAGTCATCTATTTTTGGGCATGTGGGTTGTTTCCAAAGCTTAGCTATTGTAAACAGTGCTGCTATAAACATAGGGGTGCAGGTGCTCTTTGGAATTGATGTTTCTGTGTCCTTTGGGTAAATACCTAGGAGTGGAATTGCTGGGTCATATGGAAGCTCTATGTTTAGTAGGTCCAGAAATCTCCACACAGCTTTCCACAGTGGTTGGACTTTATTTTTTTTTAAAGATTTATTTATTTATTTATTTACTTATTTATTTATTTATACAAGAACCGGGGTACAGGCCAGATGCACGGGAGGGTGAGAGGTTTCACCAGAGACAGAGCGGGTAACAGAACAGGCAGACTGACGAAATATGCTGCTGAGGGGAGTAGTGGGCGAGACAGGAGAGGTCTGCTGCACCATGTGGGACCCTCACCGGCTAGCCGGGATCGAACTGGCGCTGCAGAGGCTGCGGACAGCTTCACAGTGCAGCGCTCAACTGCCTATACCACCAGGGGAGGTCCCTCTCCTGTGTACTTTCAATAAACATTTACTCATTGCATAGTGAGAGAGGAGACACACAAAACTATGACACATGTAGCACAACATTATGCCTAGGTTGTTCTGGAAACATGAAGATAGGTACTCTTCTTCGAGTCTGGAGGAAGAAGAAATAACGGGGAAGGTTTTCTGGAAAAAGTTATGCCAGAGTTGAATCTTGAATAATGATTAGGTATTTGCTAGATGATATAAGGAAATAATATGGAGATTTTTTTAAAAGTAAAGAAAGAAAGGCAAACAGACTAATAAGAACATCAAGGCATGTATGTTAGACATATTCCAGGGAATTAGACTAAGAGCGCTGGAAGGTGAGGCTGAAGATAACAGCACTACATAGTTTTTAGAAACCAGTCTTTGGTCATCACAGGGTTTAGGATGCTAATCTTTCCTTCAATTACTAATTAAAGTTGACAAGTTACTCAGTTTTTCAGCCATGTCAGAAGACCTTCCATGTATACTATTCAGTCACACCTCCTTCCCTCTCCACAAAAGATGGTTTTCCAAAAATAACAGTAATTGTCTCCTTGCTTATCTTTATAATTGTTCATCAAAGTGTACACTTCTGGATATAATAGTTTGACCTGCCCATTTCTTTTTCATTCATAAAGTCAGATTTCTTTTAATAAATAGTTTACCACAATCCACTGTTCTCTTTCTTATATTCATCAATCAAAGAATGTTGGTCATTTAGTCTATAAAACTGCCATACAGTAAAGCAAAGAAGTAACTTTTATCAGTCTCCTCTTAGACAGCTCTTTTGATTATACTACTTATCTGTTCTGATGTTCTTTGAGAACATTTAAACATAATATCCACTCCTAATTTTCATGAGAAAAGATTCAGCAGACTTCTTTTTCACAGGCAAAATGCCTTAGCTGATTCGTGAATTGGGAGAGGATTTAGTGTGTCAGGCTCAACTTTCTTCCACTTGTGTACGTTGTCACAGTGAGAGCAAGTATCTGATTGTTCTGAGCTTCTGCCAATAGGCAGTGGGTGGGCAGTGCAGATGGTGGGATCCTGACCAGTCTAACTCTGAGGAGCAGTGCTGATAAACCCACTCAGCTAAGTTGGAGCCATGTCTCCCTCTGGGCCTCTACCAAAGATAAAAGTGATTGAGGCCCAGCAGTAGAGCTTTGGTTCATTTCTAAAATTGCTTGAAGTCTAACAGAAGAAGACCAGGGCTCTGAAATCAAAATAAATGTATGATCATTTTATTTCAAAATTTTCTTTATAAGCACATGATAATAATTACGAATTACATTTTGTTTAATAAGCACATTTCTAGCATATTCAGTTGAAATACAGACCTTGTAATTTGAGTAATATTTAAAATGTATTGGACTGTGCACTGTTTTTAAAACTAATCCTTTAGTGAATTTATTTGTTGCATTTAAGCATGTTTCATGCCTTCAGTGTGCTTTTATCAGACTTGTTTGCTGGAATATTTACAGATATTTTGTGAATACAAAGTCAGATATTCAGGATGATCTTTTCAATGACAACACTAATCAAAAAGTCAGCATTGCACATGAGATTTTAGCAGGAATTGTGTAGGTTGCTGGAAATTTGACATGTAGGAGCATGTATGGATAAGAATATCTTGTGGGAATCCTATGCTTCCACTGTGCAGTGACCATACCAGTTCAATACTGATGAGTAGCAAATAAAAACATTTCATCATTTTATTTCTACTAGTTTTCCATGACATAAAGACAACATGCATCCATATCCCAGTTTTGTTTTTTGTATACTAAAATATGCTAACCCTCAGCTGAAAAGTCTCTATAATTCCATAAAATGAACTGAAAATAAATTGAACTTCCTGGAAATTTTTTATTTTCTGTTATTTTAGAGTTTTTAGACATTTTTCTTTAGAGGTTTATCATCGCTAATAGTGATTTATTTAATTACATGAAAATAAATGGACAAATGCTCTTTTAAGTAAAGACTATTATATAAATTATCATTTCATGAGATGAAATTGTGAAAAAGTTGCTATTCATAAATTTATAGATAAGAAGAAATTATTTTACTTTTAACTATATTTTTTGAAAATCTGTGTTTCATAGTTGCATTATGTAAATTCTTGCTGGTAATTATAATTTGAAAAATTCACATATAACTCTATATATCATTAATTTTGCCAAAAGAACTTCAGTAAACCTAGACCTGAATATCTAAAGTTAATCTTTAAAAATCTGTAGCGGTTTCCCAGGTTATAAGCATAATATATCACTTTATTTTTAACTGAGGTAATATGAATCAACTATACACTCTAAATAAATGTTGAATGAAAATGAAAAAAAAAAGCATAATATATCACCTTCAATTACATTTTATTAACAAAACCATTTTCCTTTAATGAAAAAAGGTGGGGAATCTTCTTTTGTCAGCATTATGGCTTACCTCAATAGTTAAAAGGTGGCAGTATAAACACTACATCCGACAGAGACAAAAAGGCTGAATGGATTTATCTGATTACTACCAAATGGAAAGTGAAATAAACAAGCGCAAATATATTAAAGAATTTTTAGTGAAAAGAACATTAGAAAAATGATTTTAAAAGGTTTTATTCACTGCAACACTATTTTTAGACATCTCAATTGCATAACAAAAATATTATCACCATGTCAACCAGTTTTCAAATTGCTACTTGACCAGATATGGGTTGCATGGAAACGTGATTTACAAGTACAGCTGATATGTACCCATAGACTGCTGGACATCTTTTAACCAACTTGAATTAAATGCCTTTTTATCTCAGTGTGAAAATAGAAACTGACACGTTTCTTCGAAATTTCATAAAGAAACCTACAAGGATAAAAAGAAATGTGCATGTTTAGAGAAGTCAGAGGAGACCTAAAAAATAATTTTGCATATTATTTATTTTCATCATTTCACTATTTCATTACTGTTTTCATTATTGCCTTTCAACCCTTTCTCCCCAATAGTAAGAATAAATTTTGCAATTGGCAAATAAATCCATGATGTCAGAAATTTAAACTGTCATGCTTAAATTCAATAACATAGAAAAGATACACAAACCAAAGATAGACAAAACAAGTTGACACCACTGGTATTTACAGAACACTCCATCCAACACCAGTCAAAAATACACCTACTCAAGTGCATCACAGTATTTACCAAGACAAATCATAGTCTGGACAAGAAAGCAAGTCTCAATACATTTAAAAGGAATCAAGTCCTACAATCTATACTCTCTGGTGATAATGGGGTTAAATACCAAATCAGTGAATATAAAGATCTCTGGGAAATCCCAATACTTGAAAATAGTTATAACAAAATAATTAATAATCTATGGATCAAAGAAAAAGAAAAAGTGATGGGCCTCCCCGGTGGTGCAGCAGGTTGAGTGCAGCGCTGTGAAGCTGTCCGCAGTCTCTGCAGCATGACTGGCTGGCCAGAGAGATACCCACATGGCACGGAAGACCTCCCCTCAGCAGTATATTTTGTCAGTCTGCTTGTTCTGCTCCCTGTTCTGGCTCTGGTGAATTCTCTCACCCTCCCACGCCTCTGGCCTGTACACCATCTCTTGTATAAATAAATAAATCTTTAAAAAAAAAAAAGAAACAGTGAAATTTAAATAGGTTGAACTTAATAAATGTAAGTGAGTAAATATAAAAGCACAATCTAAATTTGTGGGATGATACCAAAATAGTTCTTAGGGCTTAATTAATAATACTCACTGCCTACATTAGAATGAAAAGAACATTTCATACCAGCGAATTCAGAACCAAAGGCCACATTTTGAAACATAAACGAATTTCAAATTATGCAGAGGAAAGAAAATAATATATATTCAGCTAATGATAAATAAAACAAAATGCAGAGAAAACACAACTGATCACCCACTTGTCAGATTGGTCAGCAAAAACAGCGAACCAGTAATTAACAATGATGATTATTTAAAAACTTTTTTTTTCTTTTACTTTCTAGAGTCCTCTGACCTACACCTCAAACTTCGATCCTTTCTCAGCTATTTGCTATGAAGTTAGGCTTCACTTCTGTCTTTTTCCCTTCTATTCTAAAAATCTGATTTCTATGAATGCACATTTCATTATTTTTCTTTTTCTTCCCATTTTCTTTCTTGAATATTGCTTTTGTGCCTTGGCCTCCCATTTTATATAGAAAATTGCCTCCTTTTCTGTCTCTGAAATCATTCACTGACACTTTGCTTCCTACAAATATGGCTGTGTGATTTTTTTTTTTACCTTCAGTAGCTCCTTCCCTTGCTTTTGAAGATAGTGTGACAAATCCAATTAACAAAAAAAAAACAAAACTGATCACTCTATGAAAACATTCCTATTAGTATAAACATGAAGGCTGATTTTGTAACACATTGACCATTATTCCATTATTATAAGCTTTGTCTAAATTCTACAACTAGCACATTCTACTTGAATATGCCCACTAAGCTATATTTGAGCTTCACTGAATTTGGTAATTTTTTTTCATATCTTATGGTTTGGGGTTACTAAGATATCCCAATTTCATTGAAAATTTAGTCCATTTTTGTCTTTTGCTCTCCTTGTTATTTTTGGCTAACTACCAAGAGAAGAAATCACATTTAAATTGGATATTTCTTCTCTTTTAAAGTATACTTTCTAATAAGAAGTTTATGAAGCATATTGGAGCTACAAGACTAACAGTTGTTTGTTTGGGAAATATTAAAGTAGTTTTAGTTAAGAATTTAGAGATGAAAATATTAAAAGCTAATTGGCATTTCAAAAGATTTTTCGTGACACATTGATACAACATCACTTTAGTAAGTAAGATTAATACAGAGTGCTACAAGTTAATTTTATTGTTATACCACTTATTCCAGTATGTATTATTAAACTGACATATATATCATCCTATCAGAAAATGGACACATGGAAAATATGACAGTCTTGGCTAAGTACAGACTAAAAAAATAAAGAAAGAAAACTGTCACAAAATTTTAATTAGACAATATATGAAATCTTTGGCATCAAACTGCCCTATAGAAAGTAATGAAAATTTTATAACTAAAATCTTTGCATTCTGGAAAACAATCAAGAAATTTTTTAGGGCCTCCCTGGCGGTGCAAGCACCACACTATGCAGCAATCCGCAGCCTCTACAGCATAAGTTCTATCCCCAGCAGGCCAGGGAGAAACCCACATGGCGAAGCAGACCTCTCCTGTCTTGTCTGCTGCTCCCCTCAGCAGTGTAATTCGGTCAATCTGCCTGTTTTGTTTCCCACTCTGTCTTTGGTGAATTCTCTCACCCCCCGCATCTCTGGCCTGTACCCCAACTCTTGTATGCATAAATAAATAAAATCTTGAAAAAAAGTATTGTTTTAACTAAAATCATTACTAGGTATGAATTGGTTTTTGTTATTTTGGATTTGCAGATATTAGGGTTAAACCCATGAGTTTTCTGATTTGGAGAGAAAAAGCAGAAAATGGACATCCACTTTTAGAATTATATATTATCCTTCTTCAGTGTCTGATAAAATCATCAAACCAAGCACATACTTTGTGAGCTCTAGGAAATCCATTATCATGCTTCTTTTAATCATTTGAATATATTGGTAGTCTTTTCTGTTTCAGTTCCAATTCAAAGAATGCTTTTAACTTCAAATGGTTTCCAAGACTATTTTTTTGAAATAAAGGAAATTTTTTCCCATAAAATGTTGAAAGTATTGTAGAAAGTACAAGATTTATAAATATGTTACTTGGGGATATTGGACGATCATTCCAACTAAGTATTATAGTACAGCCTCTCTGATATTTAGCTAGATTGATTGATTATATTATGTTTGCTCTTTGTGTAAATCACTAAGAATAATTTTAGAAGTATTCTAGGTTTCAATAAATAATGCAGATACCATGTAAAATATTCAAAAGAAACAAAAGACAATCAGTTCAACTCTACCTTTCAGCTATAGTCTCCCTCTCTAGAGACAACCTACTATTTGCAGTCTCTCATAGAGGTGGTCTTTTCAAATAAATTACACACACACACACACACACACACATACTTATAAACACAAACTGTAGAAATCTATGTACCTTTTTCTGTACCTTAGATTTTCTATTTCAATTACTCCAGAACAAATGAAAATTCTTTATTCTGCTGAATAGTGGCAAAGTATTGTATGAGTGTGTCATATAATTAGTCCTCCATTGTTATTCACTGAGATTATTTCTAATCATTTGCTATACTATCACTGTTGATAATATTCTTTTACATGTTCTTTTACATTGTTGACAATATTCTTTTACATATATTACATATTCTTTTACAATATCATTTCACACATGTGCAAGCATGTTTGTAAAAAAATATCCATTTTAAATTTTGGTAGGTATCATGAAATGGTTTTTATAGAATTCTAAAGACGATGTCAAATTTGACTTTCAAGATCATTGTATGAGAGCATTTATTTTCCCCCAAATCTCACTGATACATTTTCAAATATCCTGACTTCTCTTAATCTACAAGGTTTTAAAAAGTGTTTCTTTTTAGTTTGAACTTAAACTTCATTTCTCTCTTTCAATATAAAACAAGTTTACATAAGCCAACCCCAACTCAACCTTAAAGAGTCCTTGCTAAAAATTTACATGTCCTTTCTTATTGTTCATCATCTTTACATAATTTTATACAGAAATATATATATAGCCAAATAAATGCTAATTCAAATATATATAACCATTTTTGTTTTATAAATATGTAATAATGCTATTTATACTTGTTTTTACTCAGTTATAACAACAAGATAATTAGCTTTATATTTTTCTAGATAAGATATAAATATAAATTATTCAGTCATTCCACTATTGTTGAACATTTACTTTGTTCTCATATTTTTAACCTTATAAATAACTATACCAAAATGTTAGTTCATGTCTTTATATACCAAGACAAGTTTATTTGTTACATTCTGGAATATATTAATTTGCTTATATTGGTATCTATGCCTTAATTCTCTTTTTAACTCAATTATTTATGCTAATAGCAGGATATTAGAATATATCCTAATTCTTGGTTAGACAAGTCCCTTTTTCACATATTACTTTGCTCTCCTTGTACATATATTATTTCACATATATCTTATAATTATATCTAGTTATAAAAGATTTCTATTGAGAGTCTTCAGAATTACATTAAATCTATGTGCTAATTTGGGAAGACTTAAATTTTACTGTGTCTTTCCATTAAAAACTGGGCTATGAATTTCTACTTGTTCAGATCTTGTTTTATGTTCTTTATACAAGGTTATTTTAGTCATAAAGACCTCATGATCTTTCTCCCAAATTCATTTTATGACAGTATTAGAGATTAAGTATTTTTAATTTGTATTTCTCTGTGCTAATTTTAAGAATACCAAATAAATTTTGAGTTTTATATATTTATCTTGTAGCCAGGCACTTTACTATATTGTTATTGATGCTAAAAATAAAAACCCCACAAGATTATCAGTTTTTAATGCATAGCAACATGTCATAAGGAACTGAATTCTGCCAAAATCATATGATTTTGTAAGTGATTGCTTGCCTTGTTGAGCCTCAGATGACAGTGCAACACTGTAGAGGATCCAGCTGAAACTGTGAGATAACTACATGTACTTAAGCAATTAAGTTTGTGGGAATATTGTTATGCAGCAATATATAATGCAATTATCAAAGTACAGTTTTATTTAATTATAATTAATAGATGCTGCCTACACTATTTGTGGGAAATTATTGGTGTTTTCTTTTTCTTCTTGATAAATGCATAGAAAAAAATACAATTTTTGAATGTGCTATTAAAATCTGTAAAATT